AACCATGGGCTATAGTCCATGGGTTTTGGCCAAAATTACCCATTTTTGAAGTTTCATAAATAATTCATATTTTTGGAAAAAGTGTGAAAAACACCTAAATCGATCAAAACCATAGGCTATAGTCCATGGGTTTTGGCCAAAATTACACATTTTTGAAGTTTCATAAATAATTCATGTTTTTGGAAAAGGTGTGAAAAACACCCAAAATCGCTCAAAACCATGGGCTATAGTCCATGGGTTTTGGCCAAAATTACACATTTTTGAAGTTTCATAAATAATTCATATTTTTGGAAAAGGTGTGAAAAACACCCAAAATCGTGGTTATTTCGATGCCAAAAATGAAACTAAAATAACCACGATCTCCTTATTTCTTACCTTGGTTATTTGGAAGCCAAAAATGAAGCCCAGGTTATTTTATCTTCATTTTCGGCTCTCCAATTACGTATAACTAGGTAAAGATAAAATAGAATCTGGTTATTATAGCTTCATTTTATTCTTAGTTTGGTTATTGTGGAGCCGAAAATGAAGCTATAATAACCAAGGTTCTATTTTATATTTTCCTTGGTTATTGGGGAGTCGAAAATGAAGCTAAAATAACCAAGGTTCTATTTTATCGTTGAAAAAGAAGGAGTAACATAGAACCTTGGTTATTATAGCTTCAGTTTGTGTTCTCAATAAATAAGTTATGGATAAAATGGTAGAGAATTGTTAGTGTATTTATTTCAGGGTTGTTGAATTTGTTTGACCATTTTGTGAATAAAACATAACACATTTGTTTTTTCATTTCAGATATTTTTTTAATTAAGAAGTAATTATTACTTTTGTGTTTGGTATTGATTCTTATTATTATCTTCTTATTTTGTTTTCCTCCAGTTTATGTGATGCATAGTATGAGCATGTTTACTATCACATACCATCTTTTGTTCTTTTGGCTTTGTAGATCTGAAGCAAAGCTCATATAGAAGAGTAGATGGCAAGGGAGAGTAAAATGCCGATAAACTCGTGAATTGTGCTCAATACTATTTGTATTTACTCTGGTGCATATCTTTCTCTTGGATTGGATTCGACGTTGTCTAAACTAGCTAATGTAATGCGATTTAGTTCATTGAGGGCTTAATGTTCGCTAACTCTCCTTTTGGCTGCATGACACAATGCAGACGACGTACCAATCCCCTGTGAGCTACTCTGTTCTTTGATTTCCATTAATCTCAGGATGGCACCTATGATGAAGGGCAGGAAAAGATTTGACATCTATTATCTGTCATCCAACAAGATGGTCTTCAAGTAAGTCCTGGTCTAAAGACTCTCTGATAACCATAGCAGTGAGATTGGTGGTATTGTCATGACGGCTCGACATCGACGACTACGGATGCGAACCATTCTCATCAATGCTTTCACATCTTTACGACAATCCACTCCTACTCGACACGGCCTCTTTTCTTTCTCCTCAATGGTTCGTCTTCTTCCTAAACCAAAACCGAAAGCAAACATTAAAAAGGAACCATGGGTTTGAATGAACACGAGAATCAGAACCATGTATTTATGACACGTATCCAGACAAGAAATGCATGAAATGTATGGCAGAGGGGGGGAGGGGGGGAGGGCAGGTGAAATTGAGTGGGGATCGGGAAAAGTTTGGTAGGAAAAAGCGGGGATGGACAAATTTTTATCAGAAAAATGGGGACCTTGCTTAGGGGGGATCGTATTATTTTGCATGACTTTAAGGGGGGGGGGGTGTGAAGAATTATTCTGGACATTTCAAATTTTCACCTGCCCTCCCCCCCCCCCCTCTGCCATACATTATGAACGCAGCCCACAAAGGATAACACTCACCATCTCTAATGACCCCAATGGGCTTCAAGGTCATCCAAGGTGACATGTTTTTCTTAAAGGCTGTCCTATACATGGCTTTCACTCGCACCGTCTTATGCGTCCTGTTGGCTCTCAGCGTGTGGATTTCTATCTTTTGCTTCTGGACAGATTCGAGAACAAAGTGGCCTCTTATTTCCTGAGGATCTTGTTGAGTTGCTTTTGTGGACTGAATGGAGGGAGCACGGGTTTTAGGCACGTATTCATAGACGTTCCAGGACTTTGCTGATCCACAGTGTCGAAGTTTGGTTTGAAGCTTGTTGTACCGGTTTGGTAACCCTGTGAAGCGAAATATCAAGAAGATTAAAACACTTTCTAACCATTTGTGAAAAGTAGTAAAAAACCATGACCTTACTCACCCTAACCCCCTAGAGTGAACCATATGTACCGGAAATACATCACAATTTATGGAGTAAACACAAATAATGAAATCCTTTGGCGCTTACCTTCACAAAATTTACAGCATTCGCCAAATCTCACAACTGGGTTGGCACAAGGGTACGACGAGGGGCAAGATATCCTTGAACATCGAACTTTAGAAAACTGCACCAAAGAGTAAGATAAAGCAGACATTAAATTGTGTTAAATTTATCTTAACTACTTCATGTTATGATACTAATGATGATGATGATAGAAGCATGACAATGTTGATGATGATGGTGATCGGTGATGATGATGATGATGGAGACGATGATGGTGATAATCTTGATGATGATAATCCTGATGATCATGATGTTGGAGATGATGATGATGATGATGATGGTGATGGTGATGATGATAATGATGATGACGAGAATGAGGATAAATAATGGCAATAATCACAAAGATAATGAAGGTGATAACATCGATCGATAATGCAGATGCTGTTGGTATGACATTATTATCAACATACCAGACATTCACACTTGATACAATTCGAGACTGAATCTGCCACAATGGGCGTCCATGAAGTGTTGTGTTTGTGCACTCCCATCAAGTTGCAATCAGGGTAGGGTACTGCTGGCTTTTGAGGGGTAACTGGATTGGTCTTCATCGGAGGTACCTTGGTTGAGACCTTAGAACCTAAAACAATGCATGTATCAATTTATCCATCCATCTAAATCCCACACCCTGATCAATGGTGGATCCAGAAAGATTTTAAGGAAGGCTGGCTGTTACATACCTAACAGATTCAAGCACAAGTGACTAGAGACAGTAAGTAACATGGAGACAGTTGCAGTGTGCATTATACTATTATACCTGCGTGGCAGTTTTCACAGCACCGTGGTATACAGTCAGGCCCATCACAAGGTATTTTCCTACATCGAATCGATGAATTCTGAAAAAAAGAAACCGAATTGGTTCTTTAATCAGGAGTCAAGGTTTGGAGCCTTGGTTTGGACTATTAGAAGTAGATCCACTACATATAGAGGCTTTGCACCATTACGTGATAGCAGCCATGACAGGAGACAGGAACAATTGAATCTGGTTTAATCTGATATTGACATTAGAAATACACCTAATTGAAAAAACGTTGTCGGGTTCAAAAAAAGGTTATATTATATCATCAAAGCTAAGACCGAAGTGGAGCATGGGAAGACAAACAATTATGCTTATTTCATGCGGATTGCAGTTTTCTTTTCCTGTGCACATTTTATGCATCATGGCTTTGGCATGTTGTTAATCTAGGTCGACCGACTTTGCTCTACTGTGCATTTCTACATGTCTATATACAAATATAATACACATTTCGGAGTACCCAAAATCCTTTTCGGTCTTAGCTTTGATTATATGACCTTCTCTTTTTCAATTAGGGGTAATTAATGATCAGTTTCCGAGGGGGAAAACTCCATTATCGTGCCTCCTGTCATGGCTGCCATTACTTGATGGTGGAAAGCAAATATTAGTGGATATATTTAGTTACCTTGCAAACGCAGATGATGCACTTGGTTTTATATGCGTCGAGTAATGGATGCCACTTCTCGCCCTCTTGGTAGTGACGTCCTAGAGACCAACACCCTGAAAATAGACAAGACATCATTATCAAAGTAGACATCATTATAAATACTATCATCATCATCATCGTGATCACCATCAACAACATCAACAACATCATCATCATCACTATCATCACTATCATCACTATCATCATCATCATCACCACCACCATCATTATCACCATTATTATTATTTACCATCATCCTCTCGGTATAACTGACCTGGTTTATAGGGTGTTTTAGACTTGGGTTGGGACGGACAAACTTTGCAGCAAGAATTCGGAGAGGCGACAGGCTGACTACTGCATGTTTGTTTAGGGCAGGTACGGATAGCACACGAAACAAAACCATCCTATATTAAAGAGCAGTTAAACAAACATTGATCATGCTATCGGATAGACGTAGTCGGTCAGTCGGTCAATAGTTCAGTCGGTCAGTCCGTCAGTCCGTCCATTTGTAGCGCCTTCCTATCTGTTTATCAATATAAGGATTATAAAATTCAATACAATTGGTTGGTTTATGGTAATATTACAAGAATTCTGATTGGATGTATTCAACTCACCGAACAACTGCAGTCAGTGCACTGATTTGGTTCACTGTTATCAGTGGGTACCTCCCACACCTTGCCATGAGTGTACGTACGTCCCATGTAGGAGCATGAGCTAGCAGACTGCTGTGAGTATTGAGACTGGGATGAACCTTTAAATGGATACACACCTTGATTGGTCAACTGATGTCACGTGAGAAAACTGATTAAGTGAAAGTACGTTTTTTTTAATTAGGGGGGAGGGCTAGGAATTCGCAGTAAATTCTTAATAAAAGGTCGTATAACTTTCACTCAGTAGGAAAATCATGATTCACTTTACCCTCCGGCGTCAGTAAAGACGAGTGTCTTAGGATTCTCCGTGCGAGCCCACAGCAATCCTTAAACACTCGTCTTTGCTGATTCTCGAGGAAAATGGAAAAAGTGGGACTACTCGCAGACTAGGACTAGAGGGAGCTTGAATAGAGGTTACATGGTTTACCTGGACATTTTTTGCAGCATTCACCATCTTTGATGTGCGGGTTTGCGCATGTTAACTTTTTACATTCTTTTCTTTTGCAGACGACTTTAGCGCCTTCACTGGACTGAAGAGAATAAGGAATGAAAAGGACATATCTATAGTGTAGTTATATACATTCATCCATCATTTCCATCCATGCATATTCAGTCACCAGTGATCCACTCACCCACAAGCATATGCGTCCATCCGTCCATCCGTCCATCCGTCCATCCGTCCATCCGTCCATCCATGAATGCATGCATGCATCCACCCATCCACCCATTTATCCATCCATCCAACCATCCATCCACCCATCCATCCATCCACCCATCCATCCATCCACCCATCCATCCATCCACCCATCCATCCATCCTCCCATCCGTCCACTCATCCATTTACACTTCCAGCCAAAAAAGAAAAAAAAAATGTTTCCATTCAACAAGCTTTTAAAAATAATTGCACATGGAGTTATTTTTGTACTGACCATCTCACAAACACACTTGATGCAGCTGAAGTAGCCATACGGTAGGAGTAACGGGTACCATGTCTGAGAGATGTTATATTTAACTGTGTTAAACGTGCAGTGAAGGGCAGGACTGCTTGAATTGGCTACAACAACAAACAAACAACAGTTTCTATACATTTGCTGTATATTTGACCAAAATGCTTCGACTTGAAACAATTAATTGAAGGCAAAAGGAAGTTCTTATATCTGCTGTTCTTGACGTTAAGTTTGGCTAAAGCACCACCGTTATTAAGTGCAGACTCATTTACTCAGAAAGACTCGATTTAATGCTGAACTGCCTCGTTTAAGAGTTAAACGGCCTCGTTTTAAGGGAAGACTGTGGGAATAAATTTAATTTTGGGAAGCAAGATGGCGAAGCTTCTGATCGAATCTCTCTCCCAAAAAGTATGCGTGAAAATGGGAATGAAGCTGTACATGCTGTAAGTTAGTACCGGGCGCTTACTACGAAAACCATCCTTTTGGGAAGCCATTTCAATGTTACAGCTTGTTGTAGTGTACGCTCATACAAAAACCATTCTTTTGGGAAGCCATTTCAATGTTACAGCTTGTT